ACTGGGGCGAATGGAGATCTTAGTCTACATTTAGAATCTCTTATCCTCTCTCCCTCACATCCCTCCTGGCAGTGACCCTGAAGCTGAGGTCAGACATTGTGCCATCACCTGCCAGGGCAGGGAGTGCTGGGCAATAGAGGTAACTGGCTAGCTTGGTCTCACCAAGCAAAGGGGCAAGGCCCGTGAGCCCCAGGACGTCATCTATGACCGTGAGTGTTCTGGAGGTGAAATAAGGAAGCCTCAATAAAGAGGTTTGAGGGCCTCCCTGGTGGTGCAAGGGGTTAAGACACAACCTATGAAGCTGTCTGCAGCTGCTGCAGCACAAGTTCAATCTCTGGACCTCTCCTGACTGGCCTGCTGCTCCCCTCAGGAGTGTATTTCAGTCAGTCTGCCTGTTCTGTTACCCACTCTGTCTCTGAATCCTCACACTCCCCACACCTCTGGCCTGTACCCCAGTTCTTGTATGCATGAATAAATAAATCTTAAAAAAAACAACAAAATAAAAAGATTCCTTTACAATGACTACTTTTGCAAAGGAAAGGAACATTTCACACTGGTTTTTATAGTCACATTGTCAGGGAGATTTAAGCTATGTCAGGGGTAATTCTCATGTTCAGGGGATTCTAGAGAAACTCAAAATGTATATGTCTGCTTTGGTAAGTGGTTATAAATAATGTAATGAACAACTGTGAATTTCAGACTGCCTTGGAACATGAATGAAGCATGTGTTTTGTTTTAGTCCTTTACCAAATGAAAGCTTGGTTTCTAAAACTTACTCCCTAATTGAAATGAAGAGTGGAAAGCAGCATCCCCAGGGAATTATTTTCCTCAAAAGAAAAGATAGCCGTGGGAAGATAATGGAACTGTTTGAAACAAAAGCTAAGTCTTGCAGCTGTGAGAACTCTGTTAACAGAGTAGGAGCTTTCTAATTTGACGAGACTGTTGGGATGTATTTTTTAAAAAAGATTCTTTGATTTATTCATACAGGAACTGAGGTACAGGTCAGAGGCGTAGGAGGGCAAGAGAATTCACCAGAGACAGAGCGGGGAGCAGAACAGGCAAATGGACCAAAGACACTGCTGAGGGGAGCAGCGGGCAAGACAGGAGACGTCTGCTGCTCCATGTGGGTTACTCCCTGGCCAGCCGGGAATTGAACCTGCGCTGCAGAGCCTCACAGCGCGGCGCCCAACCCGCTGTGCCACCGGGGAGGCCCTGTTGGGATGGATTTTAAGATAAATCTGATACCATGTGATTCATTCATTCATTTCCCTAGTATATACTATGTATACAAAGTTGAAATCAATTCATTCTACCATTTGCTGGATGAACTTATTGTGAAAACCATTTATTTGCTTTCGTTTTCTAAAAATTTCACCTGTGGTCTGATTTTCTTCTCTGTGGCACTGATGGCAGTCTCCAGATAGTCTCGTGCAAACCCAGTCTTGTTCAGTGCAACTGCTTACCTTCCTTGTCTCACACTCATGTGAGTGAGTCATCCGTTGGCCGCTGACTTGTTGATTATAGCTAATGCAGGTTCTCCTTGCCATGAGCAAGCTCATAAGACTTACGTGCATTGATTTCTTTAACACTTAGAATAATATTCTGCTTTCCAGTCACACTCAGGTGTGCTTCTGAGCCTGTTTAGACTGATGAGGGTATGAGAAGTTTTGGAAATTGCAGAATGAGGCTACCCCAGGTGTGAAAATTTGTGCTTCATGAAACTTGTGAAATTCAAAAGCTGGTATTTGTTTTACCATACAAGGGTCTTATTTTCTCCTCTTTATTAATTGATGTAATACTGGTTCATAATCTTATATGGGTTTTAGGTATACAGCTTTTTAGCACTGGTATGTACTACTTTGTGTTTGCCACGAGAGTTCTAGTTTCCACTGCATATAGTTGACCACTTTTACCAGATTTACCCCACCCCTCCTTGTCACTTCCCTTCTGGAGAACCATGATTTTATTCTTGCAGTCTGAGACCTTTGCTTTAGTTTTATTTAGTTCATTCATTTATTTTGTATTTCTTAGTACAACATTTGAGTGAAATCATGTAACATTTCTTTCTCTGACTAATTTCACTAAGCAGATACAACAACACAAGTAAAGTAAAATAGATGCCTAGGTCAGGATGGCATCCAGTGTAGCGTATCACCCTGAATGTCTTCAGGTTTGCCTATAGCCTGTAGGAAAGTACTGAAGACATTCAGGGTGATACGCTACACTGGATGCCATCCTGACTGCCTGGTGTCCATGTAACAGGATGTGGGCATGGGTAACAGGTCCCTAGCTGTGTGCACGACCCTGCTCCATCAAGGAGAGTCATGAATCATAGATTTTTAATCGTCATAGCTGTAGGGAGGAGTCATGGGTGCTGCCTCCACTCTGTCCATACACTTTTCAAAGATACACAGGATAATCTTTGTCTTTTGTCTCTCTTGGCAGTGGGATGGCAGGTGATGGGACTGGCATTAGGTTTTCTGTGAGACCATTCTGATATGAAACTTGATGGCAAGGTTTTGCAATATCACAAAATCAAGAACTTTGACTCAGAAGTTTGCTTGTATTGCATTTGATGAATAGTTAACTAAAAAATGACTTCCACTACCCAGAGTCAGGCAGTAAAATTGCTGGAAAATCACATATCATTAATAAAAATTACCCTGAAATATAAAACAATTGTAATATTTATCTATTAGGAAAACGTGAAGAAATAAGTTACCTTTTACATTAGCATTTTATGTCATGTTTACCTAAAAACATGAATCCATGTAAAACAGATTTCTAAGAAGGGAAGATGAGAATCACAGCAGCAGAAGACAAGCTAGGGAAGGTGCTGTGTTGCTGGAGGATGGCTGTTGCCCCCTCATAGTCCTGTGGAGGTAAAACAACAACACAATACCAAAAAAATGAGGTGGGTTCTGGATTGGCAGGAATTGTACTTGCCAGGATGCTCTAGCTAGGGTCTGGCTGCAGGACCCTCCACCTCTGCATGAAAATGTGAAATGGAAACTGACTTAATTTGATGTCTGTTCTGTGTGCTCATGGGCCCACAGATGGCCAGAGGGAAAAAGCCCTCTTCCCCAGAAGGGTCAGTGCAGCCCACCTGAGCCAGTGCCTGTGTGCCATGGAGTAAACATAGCAGACTAGGTCACTGCCTAGACATGGGCCTTGGAAGTCGGTGGTGGGGTAGCAGAGCTGCCCAGCGCTGGATGAGGGGACTGCAAGGGTGAGGATATGAGGCCTACCAACTAAGCATCCCTGATTCCTTTCCTTTGCTCATAATGAGGGAACCCCCCCCCACCACCCCCCGGAAATTTATTGTGTAACATTTAGGCAACTAGAAGCTGTTGGACAGTCCTGGTGTCTCCACACAATGGAAGTGAAGACATCTTGTCATCAAGATAGAAAACAGGACAGGGAGGGCGCGTGAAGCCATCTGGTGGCCAGGCCCAGTAACTGTGGCCTGACTGGCCTCCTGGGACCTCTGGGGTTGTCATCATCTGCTTCTGAAAGAAGGGAAGCAGTTGCCATGGTGTACACTGTGAATAGTACATAAGCTGAAGCATGTTCTTTTCTAACATTTTTCTAAAAGGTTGGACTATAAATTAGAATTTTAAAAGTCTCTTTAAATGTTTACCAGAAATGTCCAGCTTTTTAGTTTGCTTTGTATACTTATCCAGTGCTTGACAGAAATTGCACTTACTGTGCAGCTTTAACTAGGGGTACCACTGGTGCCTGGCTGCAGGAACCAGAGCACAGATGAGAGGTGTTTTTTTTTTTTTTTTAAGATTTATTTATTTATTTTATTTATACAAGCACTGGGTACAGTCAGAAGCGCGGGAGGGTGAGAGAACTCACCAGAGCCAGAGCGGGGAGCAGAACAGGCAGAAGGACGGAGCAGCGGGCGGCAGGAGAGGTCTGCGCGCCATGTGGGACCCTCCTCCAGTCGCCGGGGAGCAACCGGGGATCGAACCGGTGCTGCAGAGGCTGCGGGCAGCTTCACAACCCAGCGCTCAACCACTGCGCCACCTGGGAGGCCCTGAGAGGTGGTTTTTAATGTAGCAAGACTGAGCCTGCTTAGTGTTTTAGTCCCGGAGTGGGGTGGCCAATGGTCTCCTGGCCAGTGAATGGGGCAGTGGGCTGGGGTGTGGAGGACCTTGACTCAGTAAATGTTCCTTCCTGCTCTCCTCAGTTCTGTGCAGGCATCAGCAATCCCTGAGTCACAGCATGAAGGCAGGGACAGACACGTGGCACAGACTAGCCACCCCACCTTGACACCTCCCAAGTGCCTGACTCCAAAACAAAAAGCAAAGCCCCACAAAACCCAACCACTCAGCTGGATTGCACTCATACTATCAGGAGGGGCCAGTGGAGTCTCTGTTAGGCGGGATCATTGGCAACAGAGAAGAAAGACCTGAGAAACTCAGGGGTTCAGGTTGGGACTTTGTACTGTTTATAGTGGAAGAGTCACCAACCAGGTGTCATACCTGAAGGCTTTGTATAGGATAAGCGGGCAAGTTTCAGCCTTCATTAGGTTTCTACTAAGTGTATGAAGCATGTGTGTGGAGCAGAGTGAGGACTGAGTCACCGTGGAGGCTGCAGATGTGTGAGTCTATCATAGAGGGCACACTTAGGACACCACGGCGGGGTTCGTTTCCTGTCTTTCCTGACTAGGGGACCATGCCAGCCCTGGGACCTGACTCTGTCCAGCCCCGGGTTTGGTGGACAAAAGTGATGCTCTGTGCTTTGCATCAGACCCAGAGCCGGTGGTGTCCAGGTATAGGGTCTCACACCCAGGAGACTGCCCCCCATGTTTAATGTGTGAGGTTTGGAGACTTCCAGTGCCCTGTGGCTGTGCCTCTCCAGGGTGTGGGACAAACATTGGATGCTGAAACCCCGGGAGAAGCAGATTGTGTTTGTTTATTTCCCTCTGGGCCCCACGGGCTCAGCAGGAGAGGAGGGCTCCCTGTGAAGCTCCAAGCGGGCTGTCTTTGCAGGTACGTGCAATTTCTCAGTGGCCTCCTGTCAGGAACGGTGAAAATGAATGCCTCCCCACTGTTCCTGCATTTTGTCATCCTCCATGGCACCCCTAACTTCGACACTGGTGGAGGTGAGTGTCTTCCTTGTGGCTGTGTCTTGGGATTCCTGGCTGGTGCAGGCCCTTGCCCTTGAACAGACCTTCCCTTCTTACACTAGAGAGCCATGCCCCAGATCTGGTCCTCAGGCTCCACAGTCCCCAACAAGTGGTCTGTGGGACGTGGGCTGCCTTGCTTATGAGGGACAGGACAGATGACCAGTGATGGGTCCCCTCTGCTGCTGCCCTACTCCAGTGCTACTTCTCCAAAACGCAAAGGCAGCACCTGGGCTCCTTTTATCTGTTTGACAAACTCCTGCTCCTGAGCCGTGTTCTTACTGGCGACTCTGCTGTCTTCCAGTGTGTCGGCCCTTTCTGAAGCTCTACCAAGCCATGCAGCCCATGTACACGTCGGGGGTCTAGTAAGTGCCGCGGCTATCGTGGGGACTTTTCGAGAGCTGGAAAGTGGACATGCCCTGTGTCTCCGCCAGGAAAGGGAGGCAGTAGTGGAGCAGGGAATGCCTGCTAGCGGGTGCTTGGTGAGGGGCCATCACACTGGTGGCTCCATAGGAGGCATGAACTCTGGATCCTAGAAGAAGGGGAGATGCATGGGGAAGTGACCAGGTTCCTGGGGTTTGCCTTTCCACTCTGCCGCAGACAAAGGGCAAATACACACCCTCAGAATTAGAATTTCTGGGTTTATCTGATTTACTTTTTGTGTTTGGATAGCATTTTCTGAGCATTAATGGAAAATCAGTAATTTTTGAATTTTCAGTTGTAGGCTTGCCTATCTCAAAATGTATTTTGTCCACTAAATCATAACATTTCATGACGGTCTCTCTTCTGTTTGTCTCAAAGCAATGTTGGCCCAGAAAACCAAAACAGGATCTACATTGCCATAGAGCCGGCCCAGCTCCTCAAAGGGGACATCATGGTGAGTGTCATGGCCTTGTCTCCGTTTTACCTTTAATCCCAACACACACAGAGAAGCAATGTCATCTTAAAACAGTAACATCAAACCTTGCCACCACCCCCCTCACCCTCCAAAACAACAGCTGTAGGAAGAATGAAAAGGAGCCTGACTTAAGGTGGTTGGTTAATTTTGAGTAAAACTATTTTAGTGAAAGGGACAGGACAAATTATTAGAGCCACTTGGTATATGCACCCCTGAAATTAAAGTCCTAAGTCAGCCATGGTACTGCTGATGGCTGCCATTCCTTGACTCTAATGTGCAATTTTAACATGATTATTGGCTTCCAGGGTATAGGTGTAGACAAAAAAAATAATTATTTATCATTATTAGCCAAGGTGTGAATTACTACTAGCGTATGGCAGCTCTGTTAATGATCTAAATAGTGATTTTTCCATATAATTTTGCTTCTTGGATGGGTTGATTCTTGGAAGACATTAACGGTTATGTTTTTGCATCTTATCTATCTTGAAGATAGAAAAATTCATACATCTAAAATCATTTAAGAGAAATTTTTCTGAAATAAGGAAAACCTTTAAGCCTCATGTATGGCTTCCAGCACATGTAGGGCAGCTTTCCTGTGTTCTTTCCAAGCTTTGGGAAACACAATATGACAAGAAGGGATGATGGGTCAAGACTTGATCTTTTTGTTTTATTATAAATGGCTCATCCAGAGTTTGTAAGTTTCTCATTAATTTCCTTTAAAAATTTGGGTTTGAATACCACTTTCTGAGTGGCTGGCAAACTCTAACCTGCCCCCTCCTGAAATCTCACAAAACTCAAGTCTGTGATGTTCATGAAGATAGAGGCCCCAGCTCATTCATACCCTTGATGTCCCTGTACAAACTACCAGGGAGGCCTCTCCCCATCTAGGCCCTTGGGATGTGTGTGCTGGTGAGTGTGCATGTGTGAGCTGCAAGAGAGAGGGCCTGAAGCAGGCATGCTGGGGAATAAAAAGTAGCAAAGTTGGGGCCTCCCCGGTGGCGCACTGGTTGAGCGCTGGGTTGCAAAGCTGCCCGCAGCCTCTGCAGCACCGGTTCGATCCCCGGCTGCTCCCCGGCCACCGGAGGTGGGTCCCACATGGCTCGCAGACCTCTCCTGCCGCCCGCTGCTCCCCTCAGCAGTGTACTTCAGTCCTTCTGCCTGCTCTGCTCCCCACTCTGGCTCTGGTGAATTCTCTCACCCTCTCGCGTTTCTGACTGTACCCAGTGCTTGTATAAATAAATAAATCTTAAAAAAAAAAAAAAAAAACTTAAAAAAAAAAAGCAGCAAAGTTACTTCATTTTCAAGGTATCATGCTGAGCACTTAACAAACATCATGTTCTTCCTTCCTCACCATGAATTGGAGATGAAAGAGTTGGCAGTCCTGTTCTGTAGTGAAAAGCTGATGTAGGGTGGCGAACACATTTTCAGAGACCCATTTTTCTCAGCCATTCTGTGGCACTGCCTCCAGGAAGGACCCCATTGGGAAAGCTCAGGTGGAAGGGACACTTCCTGGGCCAGGGGGCTAGCCTGGAAAGGGCCTGAAAGACAGGAAGAGGAAGTGCCCCAGCAAGGCCCCAGAGGGCCATTGCATTGTTAAGACGTCCTTGAGAGGGTTAGTGTCCTAGAAGATTGAAGCCAGATGTGAGGCCTGGGATGCGTGTGGTTTGCTTTTGGAAAATGTGGTGCTGCTAACAAAGCTCTTCACCATGTCCTGAAAAATGCACTGGCAGTCCAGGCTTCCCAGAGACCGAGACCGACATCGCACAGCTGTCACTGCCCTTTGGTCCCAGGCCTCTTCTTCCACTTGAATAGGGTCTGAGAGGCCACGTATCTGAGCTGGAGGCCCCTTTGCTTAATGAAAACCATGTGCATGGGTAGCGGGGTTTTGATGGGCTGGGGGGCATTACAGGCCACACAGATGTGAGCAGATTGAGTGTGGCTTGGCCTGGGATGGCCACCTCCTCCTCTAGGAACCACCCCATACCCCCTGAAGCCCCACCCATGTGTCTCACCGCTGTCCCACCCTGTGGCAGACACTGGCTTGGGCATAGGGTCAGAGTAAACACTGCATGTGCTGGTGAACTGGAATGTGGTTTGAGCAGGCAATGTGGGATCAGTCAGAGGCAACTCGGGTGGGAGGTCTCAGTGTAGCCCTTCCTAACTGGGAGGTGGTCAGGAATGGGGTGGGGCGGTGGAGAGGAGCTGTGAGTGGGTGAAGGCAGTGCTTAAGACATGCTCAGACTTGGCCCCTGCATGCCGATGCCAGAGCAGCCCCTTGGCAGGCGGCAAGCTTGTTGGAGACACATGCCTCTCAGGCAGGAAGACACAGGCCTGTGTGTTTGGGGCTCTGCTACCTGCATTGTCCCTGGATGAAAGATTACACCTTCAGGGCACCAACAACCACATGAAAGTTGCTGTCACCTTGTGTAGGTGGCGTACAGTGATCTTCATTATGTTCATAAGTGGATTTGATCCGCTGACTACTCAGACAGTTCATTGGGGCATCCAGTGCTCCCTGTGGTTCTCTCTGTGGTAGAAAGGTTGACAGGCAATGATTTGTTCATTTTCAGAAAAAATTGGTCCTGACTCAGATGTGTAAGTCTGTATAGTGCTGAGCAGAGGTGTTTCCAAGCTCGAGCTATAGATGGAAGCGCCAGGCCCAGGCATTTTGGGGGTGCCTGCCAGATACCTCTGGAAAGTGAGTTGATGAGCAAGGGGAGGCAGACAGGGAAGGGCTGGGATTGAGGACAGAGGGGAGCAAGGCCTGGAGGCTGGCAATTGAGAGTACTGGGGTGTTGTGTGAACCCTCTTTATCATGCTGGGGAGCCCATGATGTCCTGAGCAGGGCCTTGAGACTCTGTGCACCATGCCTACAAACAGGGCCTTCAAAGGGGAGAGGAGACCCCATAGTCACAGGGGAACAGAAGAGTGGGCCTAAGAAGCAGTGAGGAGGGCCTCCCCAGTGGCGCAGCGGTTGAGCCCTGGGCTGCGAAGCTGCCCGCAGCCTCTGCAGCGCTGGTTCGAACCCCGGCCGCTGGGCGAGGGTCCCACATGGCGCGCAGACCTTTCCTGCCGTGCCCGCTGCTCCCCTCAGCAGTGTACTTCGTCAGTCTGCCTGTTCTGTTCCATGCTCTGGCTCTAGTGAATTCTCTCACCCTCCCGTGCTTCTGACTGTACCCAGTGCTTGTATTTAAAAAAAAAAAAAAAAAAAAAAGGCAGTGAGAAGAGTGACCCAGTACTGATGCTAGTGACTGCTGAGCAGCTGAGATGGGTGGTGAAAGGATGGCTAGCGGTAGGCTGTTAGGACCCACCCCAGAGTATTCGGGCTTTGCTTGGATGTGCCCTTTCCTTTATATGATGGGGAGATCCAGGTGCTAGAAGGTGAGGGCTCAGGTAAAACAGGAACCACTGTGGAAGTTCACTAGAAGCCTGAATCTATGAGTGTGGAGTTGTCTGGAAGGACCGTGAACTGGACCTGAGGGGAGAGCATTATTCTGGTGTGGGCCCCAAAGCACAGAGACTCCTTAGTGTTTATCTTCTTGGTGGTCTTACAACCTGGTTCTCTACCTGCCTGGTCCCCCAAGGCCTCTCTGTATGATCTCTGCTTGTGCCTCCTTCTGCTTTCTTTTTTTTTTTTTTTTTTAACTTTTGCATAGAACAACTGGGGTATAGGCCAGAGGTGTGAGGGGTTGAGAGTGGGGAACAGGTGATGTACTGGAATACACTGCTAAGAGAAGCAGCAGGCAAGAAGGGAGAGGTCTGCTGTGCCATATGTGGGTTAGCTCCCTGGCCGGGTTGCAAACTCAGGCAGTAGTGGTGATAGTGCTGAGACTTAGCCCCTAGGCCACTGGGGAGGTCCTCCTTCTGCTTTCTTGTCTGGATTTTAGATAAGGATGTTACATGTACAGCCTCAATCTGTCCCTTCTTTCTCTCCCTTTGACCTGGTCCCATTAGACCTTATCATGGTGATCTTCTCCATGGCATTGACCATCATGCATTCTTCCTAGGTCTTTTTTTTCCATTGGCTCCCTACTGAAGTCCCTTCCTTTTCTTATCCTTCTTCATAAACTTGCTGTTCACTCTGGTGCCATCTCTGTGCTGCTACCTTTGACCTGCCCTCACTCTCTCTCTGAGTCCAAGTTTATACTTTGTGTCACCTTGCCCTGCCCTCGGATCTCCTTCCTGCTGATTTTAGGGTGGTGCTGACCTCTTCCTCATCTCCACACAGGAAACTTTCCCACTTGGCATTTCCTCTGCTCCCCGTCCCACATCCTGCAGTCTTGTAGAGTCTCCTCCTGGATGTGTCCTGAGTCTCACCACCACATGCTCTTTCCCCCCTCCTCCAGGGTGACGTCTGTTGTCCCCCAAACTGTGCCTCATGCACTGTGACCCGAGGTGCACAGCTGAGCACTCTGCTCCTAGCTGCATCTTCCCTGCAGGTGAGGCATGGAGTCTGAGTTCCTCTATGGTGAACAGACCCTTGTTTCCCACCTGCCCCCTCAGTCATCTAGCCCAGACATTCTGTGATCCTGTCATCACCTGCACGTGTCCCAGTTCTCTTTTCTCTATGTTTTGCTGGCACCTGTTGCCCATGTCACTCCCATCCTGTGCTGCCATGATGGAAGCCGGCGGCCCTGTCCTCCCTTATGCCATATGCCTCATTAGCCTACCTTAGAGTGGAGAGCCTGGGGTTGAGGCAAGGTCAACTCCACTCCCCAGCAATCCGACCTACCCAAGTCTTCACTGGAAACTGCCTCTTGAGTCAGTGCCTGGGGTTGCTGGCCTCCTGGGCAAGTGGTGCCACTGTGATATGTGTTCTCCTCCATCCACATCATACCAGAAGTGAACATGGGAGGTGAGAGCTCTGGGGTTCAGCCACCCTGTTGCTGGGTCTCCAGGTGAGTGAGTATTTCCTGCTATGGAAGCCCCTGTGTGTGAATTTTTGCTTCCATTAGCAATTTGGGCAAATAGGATCTCCA